GGAAAGAGAAATAAAGGAAGGGAAATTTTACAGGGAGAAAAAAAGAGGAAAAAAGTATTAAAAAACCATACCAGGGTGATAAATGCTGATACCAGGGTGGATAAATGTATTTATTCTTTGTCTGGAGAAGTGGCTGAAAAAGCAAGGTGACAAAAATTGTAGATGACATGCTATTATTTAAGTTGGTCAAGAAGAGGGAAGAGTATGTGAAGCACTTTAGAAGGATTGTATCTTGAAGGTTGTTTATTTCTAGTAAAAGTAAAATATGTTGTTGAAACAGGAGGTTGTCAGGAACAGTAATGTACTTAACTAAAGGCATAGAAAGATGTCTGTACAAAGAGAGGTTAAAAGTAAATAATCCAGGGCTATTTAGGTTGGGAAGACCCAAAGTGAATGGGCCTCATTGAGAGAAGGGATGTTCATTTGCATTTTCTTACAACAGGGATAAAGAGAGTCCAATGACAGTGAAAGACAACAAACTCAAAACTAGATTTAAAAAAAAAAAAAGAGATAGCACCTTATTAACACGATGTTTCCTTCACCTTATACACCCATTATACATGCAGAGCAAAGTCACTTTCACAGGGAAATTCATCAGTTATAATAAACAATGAGGAATCCACACCAAATATATGTCTTTGAGGGAAGAGAACCACGCATATGCACCCAAATCGTGATCATATGTAGATGGATGCTATGAGAGGCACCATGACGATTTGTGTGGGTCCATGCAGGGATTATTAATTTGGGATGATTGCGTTCAGCAGCATGGGAACATAGCTAGTCTGTTCCCAGGGCCATCTGCATGGGAATGTGAACTAGCTCTGCCTGCTTTGCCTGGGTTCTCCCATCATCCATGGTGCTTTACACCCACACTTTTTTGCATAAAGTACACAGAGGATGTATCCTGTCATGCTTTGGGCTAATGAACAACGACCAGCGCTGGGACAGAAATTTTCCCTGTAGGCTGATTGTTTGATAATTAGCCCAGTTGAATTAATCTTCACTTCCCACTGAAGTGACTGATGACAATTAATATAGAAAATGGCTAATGGACCTTCTGAACTGCTGGTCTGGCAATCTTTCTATCATTGTGATGCTTATTCTTTTTTGCTTGTTGCTTAGAAATCTATTTGTCTGTCTTGAGTACTACTTAAATGCTAATAATCATATTCTCCAGTGCAAAGTTTATAGACATGCAATCTAAATCCATGTACTTCTTTTGCTGTCCCGTATGGAAAGTGTTTGTAATGACCTTTCCTCATCTCCTCCAGAGTAAATTTTTACCCTTGATATCTGAAAGATTTGCTTACAACACACTTGAGTCATTCTGTCACCGTACTTCTTTACTGATGCTGTTTTACTGTATGCAGACCCTGGGCTATCAGATCAATAATGTTTAGAAATTGCCATGGCAAGATCAATGGTTAATTTTTTTCTGGCCAGATATTTGTCCAGTCCTCAAATAGCTTGGTGGGTTTTTTTTTTCCCCCTTTTTTTCCTACAGGGGTGCAGATTGGGGAAAGATGAGTCCTTATCCCAGCTCTTGCTGCTAGTCCAAGATATGTTTTTGAAACTGCCATAATGAAAAAATCATTAATGAACAAAAATATATCTCTCCTTGTTGCGGATCGTCTCTGTTTTGCAGTCTCTTCTCAAAATGCAAATATTGCCTATTTTTTTGATGCAAGAAAAGTAAAGCTTTATTTTCTCTGTCTCAGAAAACTGTGTAGAAACTGTGTTTAAATCTCAGACAAAGTAAGGGATTCTGAAAAGATGTGAAGGAGATTGCCAAAGTTATACTTGGCAATTTTTTATAAATTGCCTCT